TATTATTAATATATATATATATATATATATATATATATATATATATATATATTAAATAATATATTAGATACTAAAAATTAATATTTCTCATAAAGATTATGTTATTTATAAAAATAAATTGCAGCTTCACTGACTACAATCTGCTATTGAAGTATGCTATAAAGTATAGGACGATATGAAAAAAATTGTATTGTTATAGTTGACGCAAAAGCAAAATTGAATAATTTTATTGAAAATGTTAATATTATATTTTCATCCATTGTACATTCCTTTTTTGCACTGTAGTAGCATCTTTATGGAACTATATTTTAAATATACATTCACGCGAATTTAAACGTGAATAAATTGAATAATGACTCCTAAAAAATATTTCAATGTAATAAGATTAATTATAATATATAAATCGGAACAAAAAATTTTTGTATCTTCTTAATTCGTTTATAACTCGTTGCATTCTTACATGAATTGTACATTCTTTTTATTTTTTTAACATATGCAAATTGTAATTTTTTTTTATAAGCATGCATAGAACAAGCCAAATGCACGGTCTAGTGTAAAATTCATTTACACGACTGCTTATGATTTTTTAATTGTTTCACGACTTAATTATAATTATAAGACTCGCGAATACATTCGCATGTATTTATATCATTTTTTATATAATGTTTCACTATATTTGTAAGGACAATTCAGTGAACAGCGATGAAAAATGCTGACTACTGGATAAAATATAGTTTACCAGCATAAAGTATGCAATGCGCGATAAAAGCAACCGACATATTTTAATAACAAATATCATTTTAACTCACGGTCCATGTCCATACTCTAAAGTTTGTATTGTAGTAGGAAACATGAAACCCTGTAATCATGTACGGTGAACAATCAAACATTAAAATTATACAACTATATGATAAAAATTAAAAGTGAATTAAATAAATTTCAATGTGTCATTTAATCTTAATCGCACACAATCTATTTCTTTATATGATCTTTTAGTATATGATATCAGGGTTAATGTTAAATAATAATATCCTAAAAATCATCCCTGAATTATTGATAGCTGGAATCAATTAGTATTCGTTAATTTATATATATGTATATACATTACATTTTATAAATTGCGAGTTTATAAAATCATATATTGAAATTTACCATATATTGAATTATACTTGTGATTATTTCATTATTTTGTATCTGTATATGATTATTATGTAATTTTTACGAAATAATATAAGTCTCTCGCAAAATGTCTCTCTGATAGCGGAATAACATTGGTCGATCCGAGTTATCGTCTCTCTTAGAATAATTTTTTGCTTTTAATGAAATGTACTAAGCCTGGTACATGAATCGTCATAACAAAGTATCCACTTTTCCATTAGTACAACACGTCAATCAGCCAGGCCAAGAGTAAAAGAAGAACCGCCAGAGACGGCACCCGTCTCTTCTTCCAAGGCGACTAGGTAATTTACTTTTTTTCATTACGCAGCAAATGCATGTAGATTTAAATAAATATTATGTAAATGAGGAGATAATCATAGGAACTGCCATTTGTTCATTACGTCGACAAATAAATTCATGCCTCTTTTTCATTTTTCATTTCGAATGTTGAAGTATCGAGAAAAAAAAATATTATATATGTAGAATAACGAAACAGAAGGTTTTAATTATGATTAAAACAATTGAAAAAATAGAAAATTATTTTATTATTAATAGATCTTTTATTGTTGGAATTATATATAGGATTATATATTATATATAGGAAGAAATATCAGGAAGAAACATCCTCTATATATATTGCTATTATGATAATTACGGAATTATATATTTGTTATCGTTATAATTGCATACTCACACATCTCTGTACTTGTGCCAATTTGTTTTGTGTTTATGCGTTTTTATGCACGAGATACATCGATTAGCAATTTAAAGGTCATTAAAAATAAAATGACAGAGAGACAAAGCGATATATATGATCATTATTCCTTTGTGTATTCATGAATAACATTCAAGACTAACATTATAATAAAAAGCGGACCCGTAGATATTATGAAGTATATAAAGCAGCATTAAAATAAGATAATTGGCTGACGTGACTTGTGTAGGTATTATGACGATCGCTACAGAGAGCGCGAGCGAGAGCGAGATCGAGAACGAGAATCAAGCCGAAGACCATCCGAGCGGGAACGAGAACCGGAACGGGAACGTGAACGAGAACGGGAACGGGATCGTCGAGATGAACGAGGAGACTCCTCACATCGCTCAAGACACTAAAAAAGAAAGATACAAGCAGCGAAGATGACGAAAACAAAGCGTGTCGACATGACAGAGGATCAGTGATAAAGCAGTAAATGGAACAACACACACACTAACACATTTTGATCCTCGTCTCTTTAATCCTTCAAGTAAAAGTATATTATTATCGCTTAATATTGTATGAACACTTGTGACATCCAAAGATTATTAATGACACGCGACATTATCAAGAAACATTGTAGGTTAAACGGTAAAAGGGTAATTTCGAGATTTGCTTAACGAATTGCTCTTAGGATAGTTCAGAAATTTAGATTTCACGTAGAATTCTAAACGTTCTTGTCTTCTTTTAAAATAGTCGGATTCGAGCTCAGTATAGAATTTCCGTGAAATCTTGATCGCGGAGTCCTTTTGTCTTACATATATATGTATTAATATAATAATGCACTACATGTATACATATATCTATGTAACTGTATTATGATTAAGAAAATATTCATTTAATCCGACAATGGATCTGCAGAGTGAATAGTTATCGTGTATGAATGTCAGGGGAAGGTAAGGAAAAAAAAGACATCTTGATTCGAGATTGCTCAAGATTATCATTCGCAGTGATAAGAAATAGAATTGGAGAACAAGATGCGACGAGAACAACAGAATTCGTATGGAAAGAAGGAAGAACGAAGACATCGGCACGAGAAAATCATCAGCCTTCTACACGGACGAGTTCAAGATTGTATCTTAACGTAATACATATATACGCTTTCAAAAAAATATAAATGCCAAACATGTCTTTACTTTATTCATTTGTACACACAAATTCCTAACAAGAAAAAATTAGAGAACTATGTTTTCGTTTCTGCGATTTTATAAAATTCCTGAGCTCACAAATTTTTCGAAAAGCTGAATCGTATTATGTACAAAATATATGTTAATTTTCTGATGCATGTCACTAACGTAACTTTTTATTTAACATTAGAAAGAAATATTAGAAGAAAATTACATGCATTTGAAGATTAATGATGAAACATTTTATTATTAAGTGAATTAAATTAAATTATATACGATTCGCTTTTCGAAGTGCAAATGTTAAGTATATTTTATAATAAGAAATTAGAAATAAATGTGCTAATATCATGTTTGTGAGCTGCACAGATACTTGGATATCTTCCATAAAAATTTACATAAAAATTATTTCTAAAAATTATCATTAAAAATATTATGACCTCTTCATATTATAAAATATATTATATAGATATTATTATTAATAATATCTTTATAATATAATAAATTTATGTATAAAATTTTTTATAAAGAATATCTAGGAGAAATTATCTCACGAAACATTATATAGTACAATTATTCCTATGCAAAATCAACATCTCCTTTTATGTTGTAAATCGTAAAACTAAGATGCATGAAACTTTGGTTACCTAAGTATAAAATCAATGATTATTATATCATTGATATTATTGATATACAAATAATATTAAGAAAATAAAAAAAGCATACGAAATACTTATAGTCAAATTATTGCACTTGAAGTCATATAAGAACAGTGCTAATAAGTATATACATACACACACACACACACGCGTGCGCGCGCGCGTGTGTGGTGTATGTATATACTATATATATATATATATATATATATATATATATATATATATATATATATATATAATAATAATATATATATATATAGTA